CAGTTTGCACAGAGATTTAGCTGAGATTGTGGCAGTAACAGCTACTGAACATCCTGACTGACTGTATACGTAATTTGGGTGGTTATCCAAGGGGCATTCCTGGGGTTCATCCTTGGGATTCTCCTGGTGTCCATCCTTGGAATTCTCCCGGTGTCCATCCCTTGGGATTCTCCCTGGAGTTCTCCTGGTGTCCATCCCTGGGGACATTCCCGGTGTCCATCCCTTTGGATTCTCCCGGTGTCCATCCTTGGAATTCTCCTGGTGTCCATCCCTTGGGATTCTCCCTGGAGTTCTCCCGGTGTCCATCCCTGGTGACATTCCCAATGTCCATCCTTGGGGACATTCCCGGTGTCCGGTCCTGAGATCATTCCCAGTGTTCTTCCTTGGAATTCTCCCAGTGTCCATCCCTGGGGATTCTCCCTGGAGTTCTCCTGGTGTCCATCCCTGGTGACATTCCCGATGTCCATCCCTGATGACATTCCCAATGTCCATCCCTGGGACATTCCCATTGTTCATCCCTTGGAATTCTCCCAGTGTCCATCCCTGGGATTCTCCCTGGAGTTCTCCTGGTGTCCATCTCTGGGATCATTCCCAATGTCCATCCCTGGGGATCCTCCCTGGGGTTCTCCCGGTGTCCATCCCTTGGAATTCTCCGGGTATCCACCCCTTGGAATTCTCTGGGTGTCCATCACTGGGATCATTCCCAGTGTCCATCCCTGGAACATTCCCAGTGTCCATCCCTTGGAATTCTCTGGGTGTCCATCCCTTGGGATTCTCCCTGGAGTTCTCCCGATGTCCATCCTTGGGACATTCCTGATGTCCATCCCTGGGATCATTCCCAATGTCCATCCCTGGGGATCCTCCCTGGGGTTCTCCCGGAGTCCATCCTTGGAATTCTCTGGGTGTCCCATCCCTGGGGATTCTCCCGTTGTCCATCCCTGGAACATTCCTGGTGTCCATCCTTGGAATTCTCTGGGTGTCCATCTCTGGGGGCATTCCCGGTGTCCATCCTTGGGACATTCCCGATGTCCATCCCTGGGGATCCTCCCTGGGGTTCTCCCGGAGTCCATCCTTGGAATTCTCCTGGTTACCATCCCTGGGACATTCCCGGTGTCCATCCCTGGGATCATTCCCAGTGTCCATCCCTGGGACCATTCCCAGTGTCCATCCCTGGGGACATTCCCAGTGTCCATCCCTGGGGACATTCCTGGTGTCCCTCTCTGGGATTCTCCCGGTGTCCATCCTTGGAATTCTCCCAGTGTCCATCCCTGGGGACATTCCTGGTGCCCATCCCTGATCCCAGGATCTGGGATGTGGCCAAACAGGGATTTCCCTGCGGAACGGGGCCGGTCACTTCCCAATCCCGGAGGGAATTTTGGGCTCCTCACTCCAAGACATGGAAGGGGCTGGAGCAGCGGGAATATCTGAGGGAGCTGGGAAGGGGCTGGAAATCTGGGAATGGCTGAGGGAGCTGGGAAGGGACTGGAAAAGCAGGAATGGCTGAGGGAGCTGGGAAGGGGCTCATCCCAGAGAAAAGAGGGATCAGGAGGGA